ATAAGGGAGATGAACCAAATGAATTCTATAGATTCATGAATCGAAGTGGGGTATGTACCAAAGGTATTCATGAACCAAATCTTCTTGACAATTAAGAACATTCCAAATACAATCTACGTGAATTGTATTACTGCTTTTTGGCTAGAGCCTCTGGCTACTCACTTCTTTCCTGATATATATTAGAAACTATTTTGCTGATGTATATCTTACCTTTCAATTATAATATATTCTAATGTTTCCTCTCTTTGTATCTACTTATCTACTTAAATCAACTGCTTCCCATTTGTTGTGTTTGGCTTGATGTGCAATTCCTGTGCGGTTGCTAATGAAATCTACTTTGTGTTTTTCTGAGCTTGTGACTGATTGTGTATTATCATATTATCCAATCTATTCTATATATTTGTGCTACTTTATTAAATAAATGCTGTTGAAATTTCACATTGTCATATCATTACTGAAGAGATTTTGACTTTGTACACGCATTTAGGGATCTTGCGGACTTTAGCATGGGTATGAATATTGCACCTCCTGCAATGAGCCGTGAGGAATTTGAGGCTCGGAAAGCTAGCATGAGGAGGAAGCATGAAAATGAGAGGCGGGTTGAAAGGTAATATGAAACTTTATAATGGCTCCTGTTCATCTAGCCTTTTATTTTTTTCAAAAGAATTTTAATTTCCTGTTGTTGGTTTCAAATATATTAATAGGTTTAATTACTGAAGTTGTTACGTTCCCTTATCAATGAATCTCTAGTGATGAAATTTATTCGCAGTTGACCGGCACTCTAGAATATGAACTTCTACTTCATTTGAAAATAAGAAACAAAGGAGGTGGTCCGAATGATTTTCACACTGGTGAGATGGGGAACTCTTTGGTAGAGATTTGTCCTAAAAATCCAAACAAAATTGGATAAAAAGAAATCTCTAATTGGCTTGCATTTCTGATGAGAGTGGACAAACAAAAATCTTTGGTTCCAAACAATCGGATAGAAAATTTGATCCCGAGTGAAATCTTCACCTGTTAAAGATCATTGCATAACCCATTTTTGTTTTTTAAAGAAATTTAGTCTGGGTGGGTTGGGGGGAGGGGAATAGACTTCAGCCCTTTGTTCTTAGATTAGCTTTGTCCATACATGTTGTTGTTAATATTAGGCAACATATCGGGTTTATTTTTATTTTTTACTTTTAATATTAATTTATGTACTAAATTTTTTGTGAAACATGTTGTGGCAGGGAGCGGGAGCCTCCGAAAGATCGGGAGTTTGGAAGGGAAGTGAGTAGCAGTGGCGATGCCTCTTCAGTGAAACAAAAATCTGTATGTCATGTTCATAACTCTATAGCACTTCTAGTTCTGTTATGAATTCTTTGTGGCATCAATTTGGTCAGAAAATAGTAAGTTGCCAGAGGAAAAGACAAGTTTGCTGCATGAAATTCTTCCTCCTTTTTACCTGTAAGATAAACAATGGCAAAGAGTTACCACATTGATAAATCCTGCGGCAGAATCTTGATTGGGCATTCTTGTCTTTGGTTTGGATTGGAAAGAACCATAGAACGTTTGAGTCCAAGGAAAAACATATCCGGTCTTTTATTGGTGTAAACTGAATTCTCTTTTTCTTCTGTAGTTTTTCTTTACTTTTGAGCTTTATTGTCACTCTTTTGGTTTGGAGATTTCTTTCTCCCTCTCTTGTAATTTTGTTAATTTTGTTCATCAATGAAACTGTTTCTTATCTATTTTTTTTCTTAAATTTACTTTGGAGCTCTGTTTTGCACCAACTGTTCTATATCGATATTTGATGTACTCTGGGTATGCACACCTTGGACAAGGACTATGGACATAATAAATAACTTAGAGAAAACGAGTTCAATTCATGATGGTTACCTACCCTTAAGATTTTAATATCCTACGAGTTTCCTTGCAATCAAATATAGAGGATTAAGACGGTTGTCCTGATTTGTTGAGACGTGCGCAAGCTTGACTCGAACACATGAATATTTCTTTAAAAAAATAATCCATTTTCCAAACATGTTTGTTGATTTCATCGGTGCTTCTTTATAGTATAGGTGTTTCTGTTAATATTGGTTCTACTATTTTCCTTGAATTTCTTTCAAGTCCTTCCCTCATTTCCCTGATTGGATTATGTCATTGGATCTTTTCTCTGTCTGACAGCATGATTTTCATCTTTCTTAGAATCTGAGATAGCTTGCCTCTTTTTAACATTATTTTATTATCGCATGATTTATTTTAACCATTTTATATTCTTTATTGAGATGACATACACAAATTTGAATCCTCCGTCAAAATAGATTGTCCGACTCTTTCTTATTATGTGCAGAAGTTTGCACCCCAAACGTCAACTGGTGAACACAACCAGAACCGTCGCCAACCTGAGAACTCCCCTGACATTGCAAGGAATGCTGGGCCGCCTTGCTTGCCACCACGCAAAAGAAAATCTGAGCACCATGATCATGATGTTGACAAGGATGACAATTCTGATCCTTATGATCATGGCCACCACCGCCATCATCGTCAACATTCAGAGTCCCGAGCAGCCTCTGAAGCTTCTGCTAAATCTGCAGCCAGTGCAGCTGCTGATCGCAAGCAAAAGATGAGTGTGTTCTCTAGAATTAGCTTCCCAGCTGAGGAAGAGATGGCGAAGAAACGGAAATTGCACTCTTCAAAGGAAGCACCACCAAGTGACACTGGTGCTTCAGCAACACACCACAAGACATCATCCAATGGTTACTACGATGACTACAAGGTGAAAACAGTCACAGCAGGGATGAGCAGTCGTGGGAGGAGTAGTGCCACTTCGCTTGATTGTGAGTCAAGCGACGAAGATAGGCATTTCAAGAGAAAACCATCTAGGTACGAGCCATCACCTCCTCCACCATCGGACTGGGATCAGGAGGAATCTAGACATCCCAGAGGCTCAACAAGAGAGCGGGATCGCGATCGCGATCGCGAGCGGGAGCGGAGTAGCTACAGCAAACACAGGTAGTAGTTTGAGGGAACCACGAAGAATTGCGGCACCCAAGAATGCAGCGGTCGACGCCTACGTAGGGTAAGGTCAGGAAATGCAGTTGGAAAATCCAAATGGGATTGAAGTGAAAGTACAAGCAGCATATGTATGAATGAGATTGCATTGTTTTTGGCATCTAGTGGGGATGCTAACTGTAATAGAGGCTTGTGCGTTGTGCTCGAGCTTCTTCTGTATTTGCTTGTCATAAATATACGAATGAAATTTTCGTTCTCTATTGAGTTCTGAGGAATCTTTATATCACCAGAAATTTGTTTGTCTTCCTTATTTTATAAATAAGTTAGCAAAGGCCTTGTTTAAGGGGCGTTATCAAACTTTCTTTCGAGTAAATGACTCGATTAAAACTCGTTGTGGAATCGGCAACTTTCAAGGTGTTTATCTATGCTCTCCTCGTTCTCTCGGGTTGTTTTTCGACACCTTTTGTGCTTTATTTTTCACGCTTCTTCTCGTTCTTAATTAATGTATATTTTTGCCTTTTGTTCATCTAGCTTGCCCTTCCTATTTCTTGAACATGTTGATTCTTGCTCTCATTGTCTTTTTCATTTTATTCATTTTCCAACCATTTTTTGGTATCATTTACTTTGATGTGCCCTCATTCATCCCATTCTTGCTATGGTATTTAGCTTGTTCATGATATTCATATTGATCTCCATTTGAAAGGACAAATTATGTTGAAAAAATTCGTGTTGGTTTGTGGGGATAGTTTTTACTCTTAAGAAGCAAGAAGTAGGTAACGTGACTATATGACAAAAGAGTGCGCGGTTGATACACGAGGGAAGTTCTGTAAAAGCAACGGGAAGAATTGCTCAGATACCAGTAAGCGAGGCTTATTTAGGTCGTGTTATAAACGCTCTGGCTAAACCTATTGATGAACGAGGTGAAATTTCCTGGTATTATTTCGAGACGTTCCGTATATGAGCCTCTTCAAACAGGACTTATTGCTATTGATTCGAAAGCCTAGATTCATCCCCATGAGGTCGGATGAGTTCTTCTAAAAATAATTCAAACCCTACTTCGGAACACTTAAGTTTAAAGAAGTCAACTTTGCCGAAGATATAATGAATTATTCTAAATATAATATAAAAGTAGCCTCAAAATCTACCAAAGAGGGTACCACAAGCCATTATGAAGAATATTGAAGACTTAAAACCCTTTGACCTAAGGAAACTTAAAATGTTCCCTACGAGGTTTGATCGGTTATCCTAATGATAATCTTAATTCTATTTTGGAGCACTTAAACCTAAACTTAAAGAAGCCCACAACACTGCTCGGATGTGAGACGATTTATTCTAAAGATAATAAAGCCGAAAATTAATCTAAAGGTATAATTTTACAACATTTAAAAAAATTATTGTGAGTAATTGAATATTTTAATCTTTCTATTAAAGAATATATGCCAAAGAATAAAATAAATTCAATTTAAAAATCTTTAGGGAAAAGAGTCCTTATTAATACCTCTCTATCCTTTTGTTTGACTTCCTCACTATATTTATTATATATATAAAAGATTCTAACTTTTTTTTTATTTTATATAATATTTATTTAAATGGATAATATATAATTATGATGTTTTGTTTTTCAATCGAATTAAAAAAAAGTTAATACTATTTTATTTATGTGTCAAAAAAAAAAACATTGTATTTTCTAGAAAACAATAAAATTTTAAAATTATGAAATATTATTAGAATTAGTAGGATGTTTTATTTATTTTTTTAATAGAAATTATATTAAGAAATAAAATTATCATTAAGATTTTTTTTTTTTTGAAATTATGCCAGTTATGTATTTAAAAGTATAATTTTAAAAAATAATATTATATTTGTTAATTTTTTATTTTTTAAACATCTCTAAAAATTTACAATTTTAGTAATTGATGATTTATTTATGGAAGTATATATTTCATGCGATTTGAATATTTTGGGAAAGAATATATGCGAATTAAAGTGATCGTGAAGAATATATGCTCTTTTGCTTCAATTTCTCTGTGGCATTGACGTCGATTTGATTGAGGCTAAGGCCTGGTTCTTTCCGAATTAGAGCAGCTATTGATATCAAAGGGGCTCGGATTTGAATGGAGGGAGATAGCATTACTCGATTTGAGTCCTCTGGTACTGTTCGTTTCTATTTCTGTAGTGGATTTATGGAGTGTGTTCGTGCTTCTTTTCGAATCCCCAAAATTTGATTTCGTTTGTTGTGTTATTGCAGCGTTTTCGTTTGTTGGTTATGAGTTCTGAGCCTTGTGGAGCTCGGAAGAGATATGGCCCTCATTCGGAGAGTTTCGTCGAGCTTTCCTCGAGTTGTTGGGTTTGCTAACAGGTCCTTGTATTCTTTGAATTCTCCTTGTGAGTCGTTGGACTCCCCGACCTCGTCCTCTTTTATTCATGGATTCCATGTCTTCCATTGTCCTGTAAGTTCTGCTCTAGCGGTAATTTTCATTACATTTTTGGTTCGGTTGCTGATTGAATTAGACTGCTTCTACAACTCTATGCTCTGTTCTTATATGCTTTGATATTTCCAAGTTGGGGTATAAAGATAAGGCGCAAATTTCTTGTTGATACTTATATTGTTGTTCGTGGGGGTGTGAAGTCTAAGGTGCAAATTGAATTGGTTTTGTGATAGGATGCTGTGGGAATCGTTGCTAAGTTGTCGGAGTGTATAGCTTCAAGAGGGGGAAACATACTAAATGCTGATGTTTTTGTACCTGAAAACAAGAGCGTCTTCCATTACAGAAGGTAATTTTTGGCTTCTTTTGCTTGTGGTGCTTTCTGAATAAATCATTTTATATGCTGGTACTATGTAGCTGCCATTTTTTTTTGTGTGTTAGTACGGGGTTTATAGATGATATGAAGCTAAAACAAGGAAGAAAGTCAAGCTACAGCTAATAAATAAATCACTCAATTGACACAGAGTATTAATAAAGTACTTCTCAATAGGAAAGACAAGTTTACACCAAGAAATAGTCAGTAGATGCTATAGAGGCCAGCTAATAAATAAATCACTCAATTGACACGTGAGCTCTTATACCATTTGTACCAGCCCAAAACCACCATTAATAGATATTGTTTGCTTTGACCTATTATGTATTGCCATCAGCCTCCCGATTTTTAAAACGCATCTATTAGGGAGAGGTTTCCACACCCTTATAAGGAATGCTTCGTTCCCATCTGATGTGTGATCTCACAATCATACCTGTTGGGGGACCACATCCTCGTTGGCACACCGTCCGGTGTTTGGTCCTGATACCATTTGTAACAGCTCAAGCCCACTACTAGTAGATATTGTCCGCTTTGGGTTATTACTTATTGCCATCAGTCTCACGGTTTTTAAAACGTGTCTGCTAGGGAGAAGTTTCCACACCTTTATAAGGAATGCTTCGTTCCATTCTCCAACCGTATGGGACCTCACATTATAGATCCTATTATTCCTTTGGACTCGAAGATTCCAAAAAATGCAATTTTTGTAACTATACTACTCATGTTGTGGTGATCTCATTAAATGACATCGCAACTTGATTAGGGGTCTTTGAGGAATTAACAAAAAATATGATCCATTGTCGATTAAATAAAAAGGAGGTGTCTGTTAATGCGTTGTCATCGACAAAGTTGCAGACTCATTTCTTGGCCATAGTATACTCAAATTTCAATTTTGTAATCTAACTTACACAATTGCATATAAGGCTTAAGTCAATCTATTCAGACAAGAAGGACGTCCATCTTCATATTTCATTTTCTACTAGATTTTTTCTTATATCTCTATAAGTCATATCCTCCTTTCAGAAAGCATTTCTTATATTCTATCAGGAGTAGTCGATAAATTTCAAGAGTGAAACTTTTTCTTGTGTTCAAGGTGTTACTGAGGATTTGCATTAGTAACTACAATATTACAATCGTACATAATTGTTCCTTTCTGGGATATTATTGAAGACTTGCCTGATTCAATTCATGACTTGCATTTCTAGCTTGAAATGAAGAAGTATTCTGGTTGTACATGCATTGTTCCCTCGTGGGATTATTTTTGCTATGTTGTGCAGCACGGTACACTTGTGTTTGTCTGGAACAAACCAGTACAATTTTTGGTTTGTGGCCAGTCAACCTGGTTGTGATGAATATTAGGTTGAGCCTTATATCTTCGGGGAAGTAGTTTGGATTTCTCTAGTGCACTACGCTGTACTTTTCTTGATATTCAAGCTTGAACTCGTGTCTGACTTTCGCTTTATGTGCAGCCAGTTCCTTTTTGATCCTCGTAAATGGCCAAGGATGCAAATGGATGAAGATTTCCTTAGGATTTCAAAATTATTTAACGCTTGGAAATCAGTTGTCCGGGTGCCAGATCAAGACACCAAATATAAGATTGCGATTCTTGCTTCAAAATATGTATACCTCTCAATTTCATGTCATAAACTTCTTTTGTTGTAAGATTAACATTACTTTTCCCATTACAGGATCATTGTCTGGTTGACCTACTTCATCAATGGCAAGGAGGGAACCTACAAGTGGAAATAACTTGTGTTGTCAGGTAAATTTTCTGAAACTTCTTTTAATTAGTTTTGAAGTGCCCATAAACTTTCTTCTCAATCCACTTGTTTCAGTAATCATGAGAGAGCCCCCAATACCCATGTGATGTGCTTTCTTGAAAGGCATGGTATTGCTTATCATTATTTGCAAACATACAATGACAATAAGAGAGAAGGAGAGATATTGGAATTGGTGAAGAATACTGATTTTTTAGTACTTGCCAGGTACATGCAGGTAAATTAGATCATAATCCTAGTGCATTTTTACCAGCTTAGTTCTTTAGGAAAAAAAAAAACTTGTGGATAATTGTGTTGTTCCAAATCATACATACAAAGACAGATGAACAAAGTAAATGGATGTTGCAATGAAGTCTGATGCAGTTTCTGTGTTTTTAAGTGATTGATTGTGAAATTAAATATCTGATCCTGGTGATTTTCAATTTTCTTTGCAGGTATTATCTGGTGATTTCTTGAGGAGCTATGGGAATGATATAATTAACATCCACCATGGTCTCTTGCCTTCATTCAAAGGCAGTAATCCTTCAAAACAGGTTCGGAACATTATCTGGTTTTCTAGTTACATAATCCATCAACCCACCCCAATTATCTTGTGAGATTCCATGTCGGTTGGAGAGGAGAACGAAACATTCTTTATAAGGTGTGAAAACCTCTCCCTAGCAGACACGTTTTAAAAACCTTGAGGGAAAGTCCAAAGAGGACAATATTTTCTAGTGGTGAACTTAGGCTGTTACAAATAGTTTCAGAGCTAGACACCGGGCGATTTGCTATTGAGGAGGTTGTGCCCCCACATTGGGCGATTACTAGTGAGGCGGTGTGCTAGCAAAGACATTGTGCCCCACATCAATTGAAGAAGGAAGCGAGTGCCAGCGAGGACGCTGGGTCCCGAAGGGGGATGGATTGTGAGATCCCACGTCGGTTGGGAGAGGAGAATGAAACATTCTTTACCAGGTGTGAAAACCTCTCCCTAGTAGACGCATTTTAAAATTCTTGAGAGAATGCCCGAAAGGGAAAGTCCAAACAGGACAATATTTGCTAGCGGTGGGCTTAGACCGTTACATATCTTGTAACCTTTTTTTTTCTTTGACCATAACTGTGCAACTGTGTTGATTATTTAATTTGTTATATTACATTGACAGGCGTTTAATGCTGGCGTAAAGTTAATTGGTGCTACGGCCCATTTTGTGACCGAAGAACTTGATGCTGGACCCATCATTGAGCAGATGGTATCTTTTAGGCTGTTTGATGCAACTAAATTTGCTTGTTCTCTATTGTCTTGGTCTTTATTTGTGAACCATGAGTAGCCCTTTTTTTCTGAGATTATAAACCATGTCATTCTTAACCCTTTTTTTTCTAGTGAACTATGAAGTGCAGAACCGTTAAAATCACTTTTGTTGTATTCAAGATAACTTTGCAATTAATCATTCAAAATCATTTTAATGTTTAATCGTACCTTTTTAAATGCGATTTATGCACCATCAAAATTGACTTTTAATGATAAAATAAATTAAAAAATTACTCTTGAGCTTTGCCTTTTTTTTTTTTTTTTAAAAAAATATCCATGTTTTTTCAAAAGTTGATGGTGATCTAGCTGCTGTACAGCTCTAGAAAGCATGTTAGAATCTTTTCATCATTTTAACTATGTTTCTGTTCAAAATTATCAGGTTGAAAGGGTTTCCCACAGAGATAATTTGCAGAGCTTTGTACAAAAGTCAGAGAACCTAGAAAAGCAATGCCTAACAAACGCAATTAAATCATACTGTGAACTGCGCGTCTTACCATACGAGAAGAACAGGACTGTCGTCTTTTAAGAGAATGATGAAGTATTTTTCAATCAATATACTCTTGTAAGTATACTCTTCATATATTGAATTCAAATTTCAATTTATGGATACCTATACCTCTACCTTGACTTGTTTCAACTGAACTTCCAAGTTACAAAATGAATAAATAGATCTTTTTAACTCTCGTTTTTGCAATTTTAGAAATGTTGAAGTTTGACAGCTAAATATTTCACATTATCTTTGAATGTTTGGTCTGAGAACATTTGAGGATGTCTGAGTTTTGAATTTGGGGAACTGTTAGATTCTAGCCAAGTGTTTCAGGCTGTTAGGACCCTTTTGTATTCTGTTTGGGGCAACTGAACTTATATTAAGACATTTGAAAGGATCTCTCTGCCAAAGGACCATTGTACAAGGATTCATTGAGTTGATCACTTTTTTCCCAAAAATATGGAAAGATGTAAGTTTCTGTTGGCTGTACTCTTGATGAACTCTGTGTTTTATGATCTGGTTAGTCGGTGTATGTTTATCTTTCTTGAACTTTCCCTCTAAAGTTTTTAAAACGTGTCGGCTAGGGAGAGACTTTGTACACCTTTATAAAAAAATGTTTCGTTTTCCCATCCAACCGATATGGGATCTTCCAATATATATAAATGTAATTGCAGGCTTCCTCTTTTAGAAAGGGTTCGACTTACAATTTAGTTAACATGTCTAACGATCTCACAGTGTATATAAAAAGTGTTCTGCTTACAATTTCTTTTTTGCAACCTCCAGAGTTAAGATGTCAAGATTACGTATGTCGCGGTCAACTAGAATTATGTACTTAAGATTTATAAAACTCACATTTCATACCACATATTGACTTTTATAAACTATTAATCTATATAACTCTCCCCACTCTTTAACGATATTACGTACTTGAAAAATATACTCTATTTTTTCGCAGCTCACGCTTGATATCAAATAAAACAAATTTTAGTTTTCGTTTTTCTTATGATGAATCAAAAAGAGGGTACTTGTCAGATCTGAAAAATATCTTCTTAGGGCTATTTTGATAGCATATTTTGCTTCAAAATTAGGAGATGAAAATTCAAATCTTTATATAAAATATACGAGTTTCAAGTAAATCTATTATATATGGTAAAATTCCCTGAAATGAGCGTAACATAATGGGTTTGAACAATGTGGATTGATAGCGATAAATGCGATCTAGCTAACCGTACTATCGTATTTAAAATGACAGCGAAGAATAGCATAAGAAAAATTTGAGCTAAAAGCTATAACATAGGTGGGTCACTGTGCCATTTCCTTCCTTGTCTTCCAAGATTTGAACTCTTTAGTACCAATGGCCACGCTTTTCTTTATACTTTTCTCACTTTGTCTCCTTCACGTACCATAGACACCGACATCTTTTCTCTTCTCACGTTCGCTAATATGCCACGTACTTCTTGTTTGATCAATCTTTTCGCGTTCATCCTGGATATTATTTTGAGGATAACTTCAACAATTATATACTTAAATTTAAAATTGATTTGTGACGGTGAATTTTATATCATACCTTTTAAAAAATTATCAATGTTAATAAAATTATTGACCAAAATCGTTCAGGTTTACTATTATCAGGGTCGCATCTAACACTGTCATCTCCACTAATGTCTTGTGGCTAGACTGTTGGCCACGCCCCTACTTCCCACATGATCTACTCGATTGTTGGGAACTTGGTGTAATCCCGTCAAACCTCCACCTATGTCTTGAGAAACTTGCTAGTGTCGTTTCCGACCAAGTTCTCTTCCATCATTGTAGCTACTCTTAGGGTCCCAATGTAACCTACAAGTGCCAAGGCAACAATAACGCTTAGACCCGTCATCTAGGCCTATTCTTGGTCTTTACCCCGACTCACTCAAGAGCAAACCTCACCACTCTCATAAATTTTCTTTCATATAGGCAAATTAATTACCCATCTTGTTGCAACTTCATGAATTCGTGTGGCTTTCAATACTAGGCTACGCTTCTTTGAATTGAGACCATATCATTATGTCTCCACACTATACCTTCTATGATTGATTGAATCACCGAAAATAAGCAGTAAGATCCAATCCAACTTTTCTTAGTCATCCTGTCATCAAAATTGCTCTAATTCGGGCATGATCTGTTCTTTACTCGGACGTCACAAAATCTATTATAATTATTCGGACAATTAAAAAAAAAAAAAAAACCCTAACCTTCCCCCAATCATTTCATTACAATTAATAATATTTGTGGGTACATTGGATTCCAAGCCTCTCATGTGCTTTATTCATTTTTTGACATAGGACATGACCATTTCTTGCACACCATGCCTTTATAACATGCCCACACCCTATATTCCATGCATTCAAAACACCCAACCTCTCAAACTAATGCTACCCACAAATTTCCCTCTTCTATCACAAACCCATTTTAGATCATAACTTAATATCGCATAAATGCTCGATACCCGAGTAGTTCAAATTCTTTATTATTATTTCGTACCACATGTGCATCGTACAGTTTTAGTCTTTGAAAGTGATCTGATCAGCTAGATTCAATTGTTAGCTCTATAGATTCTATATATAAAATAAATTGCACCGAGATGAAATCTTTCATGATGTTCTTTAAAAAATTCTATTATAAATTTAGCGGTGAACGTTTAACAAAATAAAGTTATTGAAATAAATATAAAAATAGTTGGTAATTGAGAATTATTATTTTGAAGGTTACATGATAGTTTGCTAAGTTTGTCGTTGCAAACAAGTCCAAAATTGCCAGCTCAATAGTTCGAAAACTAAGCACATTTATGTTGGATAGTGAAAGAGATAGTGAGAGAATTTGGTTATTAGATGTTTGAATATGTAATCATCTAAGTCTATCGTTAATAGTTATTGTCTGCTTTGGCTCGTTATGTATTGTCGCCAGGTTCACGGTTTTAAAACGCGTTTGTAGGGAAGAGGTTTCCACATCCTCGTCCCTTTCAAACTGATGTGGGATCTCACAATTCATCTGCTTAAGGGTCTAGCGTCCTCGCTAGCACACTGTCCAGTATTTGGCTCTAATATCATTTGAAACAGTCCAACTTCACTGTTATTAGATATTGTTTGTTTTGGCTCGTTACGTATCGTTGTCAGCCTCATGGTTTTTAAAACGCGACTATTTGCGAGAGGTTTCTATACTATAAGAATGTTTTGTTCTTCTCTCCAATCGATATGGGATCTCACAGAATCTCTCACTCCAAATATTAAAATATTAAAATCAAGTTCATCATATCGAGTTGATTTGTAATGAAAAATATTAAAATGATTGAAATGATAGCATAGATATTGAAAAAAAATAGACAACGTCTCACTACTGTTCTTATGATTGTTGATAATTGTCGTCGGTTATCTGAATCATCACAAAATTTTTATCAGTATCACAAGCCTCATACATTCTTTTCTCTCTAGTTGCGCCAATGTAGCCTCGCCACCCGTAGTCGATGTCGAGCCACCTAATCCCCATGGTCTTTGGTATCGTGGGGTGTTACTATAGCCACCAATTGAGAAATTTGAAGGGTATAAGAATACTTTCAAGTAGCTTTGGTGCTAGAATTGGTTCGATTTCCATCTTTTGATTAGATTTTTCTTTTCGGTTTGGTTTGAGTTGATTTTTTAGAAACTCGAAAAATTTGATTCTATTTGTGGGTTGACGTTTTTTTGGTCGGGTCAACCTAATCAACTCGAAAATAAGATTACAATTCAACTCAAACCTATCGTACTTTTAAAAAGATTATGAATATTTAGCGTCTATACCTATTGTTAATGTTATATTATAAGTTGTAAATGTTTGATATTTAAATTTTAAGAGATTTTAATTATTAATTATAATATATACCGTGGATAAATATAATTTTTTAAAATAATTTAAAAAATAATAATTAAACAATATAATCGGAATAGAAAAATATAGGGTTAAGTCGAGTTATGAACGATGTGACAGACATAAATGTGAAACAAAAATAGAAATGTAGACATTATAACAAACTTAATTACACACAATGCCACTGATGAAGAAAAACAACAAACCTATACAACAGAAAATGACGAATTTCATCAATTTTAATTAATTTATTTATTAATCTCATCCTCAGATTTATTAGAAATTTTCATACGATTGTAAAATACAGTAATAATTTTAAATCACAATCATTGGAAAAAAATAAATAAATCTGAGGATGAAATTAGAAAAGGAAAAAAAGAAGAAAATTTTCCTGATTTGGTATTAGAAATTTAAAAAAAAAAAAAAAAAAAAAAATCTGCAGCCTTCTACAATCAAGGAGGAGTGGCGGAGAAATATTCCGACGGCGACGGCGGGCGGCCGAAAGCAGAGTCGAAGCCGTCAATCGGAAGCATTTGAGAGAAACAGAATGTACCAATTTGGTGATTGGGATGAAGAAACAGATCGGGAAGATCGAAGAACGGATCATCGATTTCTCCGGGAGATTTCGCGGCGGCGGCGACAGAGGAGGGAGAGCGGTTGCGGTCGGATTGAGAGGCGGCGTCATCGTCGTCGTCGTCTTCATCAGTGGAATTAATGGGAAACGTCGCGGCTTTGGCTGCGGCGGCTCGAATGTCCTTAGCGGAGGAGCTAGCGGGACGGGGGAAGCGGTGAGCCAACTCCGGGAAGTTGAGGTAAGCGGAGTGACCTTTGATGGTTCTGGCGGCGACGTCGTGAGCTCTGGCGGCCATTTCGGGAGTGGAAAATGTGCCCAACCAAATTCTGGATTTCTTCTTGGGTTCTCTGATTTCGGATACCCATTTTCCCCATTGCCGCATTCGGACGCCACGATATGTCGGATGTTTGCCGTCGTTTCCGAGCTTCATCTTCTTCGAGTTCTTTTCTTTCATGTCCGACGACGACGACGACTGAAACTGGAATCTTTGAAGAGGATCTTCCATTGGAGTGAGCTCTGTTTTTTTTTTTTTTTTGGAGGTTAGGGACGGAATGTAAAAGGCTAGGGGCCTTAAAATACATCTTTTATAAATTTTATTTATTTATTTATTTATTTATTGTAGCGTCTAAGCCTATTGATTTTAAAATGTGTCTGTTAGGGAGATATTTTTGTTTCACAGTAGATATGATTTTTTTTTTTTAATTTTACACGTTTTTTCGGTAAGTTTTAAAATGCATTTATCATGAAAAGACTTCAATACCCCTAAAAATGTATCGTTCTCCTTCCAAATTAGCGTGTGATCTTGCAATTCATTATATATATATATATATTAATAAACTTTTAAGTTTAAAAATAAAAAGCTAAAAAGAAAAATGGTTATGAAATAAGAATTAAATGGTGATGTGGCAAAAAGTTTTTTTAAAAAAAAATTAATTATTAATTATTAATTTTAT